CGATATCACTCAAGCCTATTATAAAATTAAATGAGCAGCTTGTTTCAAATTTCATGTAATTAGTACGAAAAAAAAATACTTCAGATGCATTCATATTTTTATAATATCTTAAAATCGCAAACTTCCCTTCTTTTTTAAATATAGTGTTGTATATAAGTATGTTTTTAAGTTTATTTCCAAGATAGCATGGGATATGCATTTTAATATTGTAAATATTGTTATACTATATTGTTATTCCTCTTAAAAGTTTTAAGTTCGAAAATATTTCACATTGTGTAAAAACAACTCTAAAAGAGCATTATGTTCAAATAGGCCTTATTTAAGTTTTTCTTTCATAACGTTCTAAAGAAAAAATTTGGATATTTTAGCGTTACCCAGACAACACCGCTCACATACCCTAGAGGACCGTAGTCAAATAGAGGTTTTTAAGAATACAAGATATTATGAATGTATACCTAAATTTTTTCAAAAAGCTATAAATTAAGATAGAAGCGTTGGCAGTTAGGTATATAAATTAATTTTAATTCTTAAGTGTGATCCCTGTCTTTATATAATAACATAATGACAAACAAGTCGACTTAATTAACAAATTAATAATTTGTTACAATATAATAGTTCAATAAATAAATAATTTCAAATTTATGTGGCATTTTTCAAAATTATCATTCCTAAATCATTTTTTAAAATGTATATTATGTAGGTATATGTTTGAATAGATTTATATGCTAATTATTTTTTGTTTGTAACATAAAATTTATAATCCAATTTCACACTTTCGCGTCCTCGATAATTTTTGATTAAAGTGCTGTTTTTTTTTTCTTATAATTATTATGAACATACATTTAAAATTTTTTTATTTACAAACTTATACCAAACTATAATGTGTACAAATACATAGAACCAATAATATTATAAAATTATAACCCGGAAAATTTTACTTAAAAATAAAAATGTTAATAGGATTGAAAGAATACTGAAGGAAAATGAGATGAAAACACAAAACAAAACAAAAGAAAAAATAACATAAAAAAAATTCCATGAAAATGGTTAGACCCAATATTTTTACTTGGTTTCATTGTTGGACCAAGTCAAGTTCGACAATTATCACTTTAACGATAATAAAATTTAATGAGCCACATAATATGAAACTCATTGAATACTTAATGATTATAAAACTCAGGCATATATTATGTTATTGATAATTATTATAATATTATAATACTCGTATAATGTATTTTTTATAGTTAAATATATAGTTATTTTGTTAATATAATAATGTATTCATACTCTTATCTTTATTGAAACATTTTTCAATGAAATCCACAGAGTTTGAAAGGAATTTTTTAAGAAATAAGTACCTACATAATAATATTATGCCGATATAATATACATATGTAGCGACTGTTACATAAGCCGTGTATATAGCAGATAATGGTATATAAGTTTTTAATATAATAAACACAAGGAATACTTAATTATTTTATACGAAATTCTTCTGTGTTTTTCGATAATATTTTAAACAAATAAAATACTAGTACATATACTCGTAGAATATACATATATAATTATATAATTTTTACAATATATACGCATATCTTATGCTTTATTCAGTCATTAAATTTAATGAACCGAATTAAGTGATTAATACTTTCTTCGAAAAAAGGTTTCATTCAAAAAAAAATTTATTGTTTGAAAATGTTCGCTGGGGATTTCGTTGATATACGAAAACTATCAATCATAGTTTAAATGTAATTTTTATTTAATAATTAAAATAATGTAAAAAATAATAATGAAATATCGATCATTAAATAATTAAACTCTAATTGATTTTCATTTTTTCATCATAAATTTAAAGATTTCAGCATGACGAAATTGCGGCATAGAGAGAAATCGTTTAAGCTCACTTTTCAAAAAAATAATTATAGTTTATCGATAATTTACTTCTTGTAGAAAAATTCAAATAATTTACAACGAAGAGATTCCATTACAACAAAACTTAGGTATATAGGTACTCAAAATTGAAACATTCCTATCTAATCAATAAAACCACTAATTGCCCAAATTTTTCACGGAGAGAAATGTTTTTAGTATACCGAAATTAACTTGATAACATGCATCTAAGTATGCAAACACAAAAAAAAAGCAAACAGCAGAAAATTAAACGGCAGGCTTTAATTATATGACTAATCTTGCATTCAATATTTACAATATTTATTACATATTGTTCATTGCTTTGAAAGCGGATGGAGGAGGAAGAGGCACTTTTTAAAAATGCCCTAGGGCGTCGAACAAATCAGAGTCGGCCCTGAATATCCAAAATATATCTTAACTATGAATTTACTAATTTGATTTACACATATTTATTGAAAAAGATGGCTCTAAATCTTTAAACTTTCAAAATTTATTTAGTTATCTTGGCAGTCATCCTTTCGTGCAATCAAATTATCAAGATACATTAATTACTGACATAAGTTTATACATATAAGGAAATTTTAAAAATTTTTCGATAGCTAATGATTATCACGGTAAAGGTACAATATTGTTAGTTCGCTTAGTATGTATACATGTTGTAACACATAGTGTTACAATATTATGTAAGTACAAAAGCAAATGTTTTATATTCTCAAATATTATAATTATTAAAAAAAGGTTGGTTGACTCACTTTAGACCGAAAATTTACTTAACTTCATATGTCCATCTTTCATATTTATATTTTTTAATTATTTGTAAATACTTTTCTTAGTACCAAAAGATTGTTTATAGGGCCATGTCTTTATATTTTATTAGCATGTGTTCAGATATATAATAGCTTTATTTAAATATGTTGTAAGTAAAAATTTCAATTTTATCGGAGAAAAAGTCATAAATAGTAGGATTTATTTCCAAGTTAAGTGTTACTTAAAATTTTTACCTCATTATACATGCTTTTTTACAACCACTTAGCTACCTGAAACACGATTCAATACAGTAAGGTATTCAAAACTAAGATTTCTTTTTGAATTTATTGAAATAAATTTACAAAAATAGTGTTAAAATGTCCTCTATAAACTATTAATATATTGTTTAAATAAAAAATACACGATAATATTTTAAGATTAACCTTGAAGTAAATAAAAACAGAAACCTGAAATGAATCAAGGAATAAAGTGAAATGTAATAAAGTAATTTACTAACTTGATATACTCGTATACGACATGCCAACATTGTCTCTATAAACTCAACATTATGCATGGTAACATAAAACATACGTGTGTGTACATACGACAATAAAAATTGTTACTAGTTTTTTATTTTTCTTTATTTTTTAACAAAAATTCAAAAAATATTTTATTTTTTATTAATTTATGAATAAAACACAGTGAAGCTTTTAGTTCTCACTTAAAATTTTAAATATTTTTGATAGGGAATTTTTTGTAAAACAAGTTTTTTTTTTTATTAAAATTTTTTATTTAATAATATTAATATGAAAATATTATTAAATGGAAGATTACCATCGATAAAAAATAAAAGTACTAAATAACTGTTTAGACTGTTTATATAACAATTATTTTTAAAAAATGTACATAAAATTAGTATGGAGAACGCAAAGAATTGATTATGTAACATAAAAAATAAATGCTAAAATATAGACAACAAAAACACAAATATGTGTAAAATTTTTCAAATGGGTGTAATTTTTATTTAGCTATAGTTTGCAAAAAATTTTACAAAATTTAAGAATTCTCTTTTAGACCAGTACGATTTAAATTTCTTGTGAGCTTGTATACAAAAATTAAAATTTCCTAACATAGCCTAATTTTAACTTCGGCTTTGTCAATATTAAGAAGGGGCCGAATTATGTACGAAATTAAGAAGCGAATGATAATAGAAACAAAATATTCTAACCTATACTATGCAGTCAAAGAGCAAGCAAAGAGTAATACTTATTCGGAAAGTCTACCTTATTCATTACGAATGGTACTAAGTAAGAACACACAATTAATTAAATAAATACACTGCTCTCTAATATATTTACAAAATTTTACTTATTTAATTCATTTTACTGACATTTCAATTTTTCTATAAGTCTTTATATTTATTATGTACATATATATGCACAACTAGTTTATAAATCTACAATAACCGGTGAATTTAAATTTACTTCCTTATTTATATGCTAATGTACTTTGCAAGTGACAATTAAATATACTTAAAAATTTATTACCAATAACCCAATAAAGCTTATTATAGCTTCCTCAATAAAAGTGTCATCTAAAATTCAATATGTTTTCGATTGTAAAAGTGCCAAAACTATTAAAATAAAACTACATTCATTTTATACACCATACCTAAATAGCCATAATGTACATAGAGAACAACAACAAAGAAGTCAAACCAAATAATTAGTTCCTCGTTTACCCTGAAAATAAAATTTTGTTTAATTTACACTTTAGTTTCACATTCAAATCATGACTAGTTTTATTTATATTTGTTTTTTTTTTCTTTTTCGATAAGTACTTGCATATTGATTTATGGATCTTTAATAACAAGACTAAAATAACATAAATTTCAAATTCAAAACCACATTTTAAGTATTTTGTTTTATAATAGTATGCAAATACTTGTTGTATACGTACTAATAAAAAAAAAAAAAACAATTTAAACAGAAACAAGATTATCAAATTTTTTTCTAAATTTTGATTGAATTTAAAAGAATAAAAAAAAAGCAATTTTTCAATTTTTTTTAATTATTTAATTTAAATATTAAATGATTTTTTTTTTATATTTTAATTGTTATTAAAATTCATTATATTAGTTTTTATTTACAAAATGAATTATTGAACAAACCGTTAATAATTCATAAGGATTTTTTCTTTTTTTTTCTCTCTCGTTTTGAACACACCACAGATTTTTTCTTCAAACTTATAATATACGTAATTTAAAAAAATTTTTTTTTTTTTGAACAATAATTCTTTCTTAAACTTAAACTTCATTATTTTATACATAATATTTAAACTATTTATTCCTCTGGTTCATCAGCTGGTTCACTTGGTGAATCATCTTCTTTTGCCGAGTTTGGTTTTAAGTCCTCAGAGGGTTTTGAAGTTGTTGGTTTTGACGGAGCAAGAGAACTACTGCTCTCCTCTACTTTTGATGGTTCTGTAGTTGAGCTACTTAATGAATTTGTTTCGGGACTAGAATTTTCAGTTGATGTTGTAGAAGATGACGAAATAGCATCTATGGAAGCTGATGTTGTTGAAGAAATTTCTGGTGCAGGTGTAGTACTGGTAGTAGTCGTTGTAGTAGATGTCGTGGTTGTAGTAGTTGTTGTTGTTGTGCTTGCAGAAGTTGATGAAACTTCTTCTTCTGGTGGAGGTGTTGGTTTTCCTTTTCCTCTTCTAGACTGAAGTCCTGGACGTTTAGATTTATGTGGTTTTTTTGTTTCTGGTTGATCTTTAGGTGCTTCGGTAGTTGTACTTGTTGCAGCACTGGATTCACCTTCATTTTCTGTTGGTTTGCCTAATCTTTTTGGTGGCCTTGGACGAAAATGCTTTGGTGGTGGTTTTGGTGGTGCAGGTTTCATATCTTTTTCTTCATTTTTTTTATCATTATCTGGTGGTGGTTTTTCTGCTTCTGGTGAATCTACTCTTTCTTCTAATTTTGGATCCATTTTTTTTAAAAGTTTCGGTAATGGACGAAAATGTTTTGGTGGTGGCCTTGTTGGTCTTGAAGGTTTTGTTGATTTTTCAGTAGTTTCATTATCACTTGACGATGAATTTTCAGTATCATCTTTCTTTACAGGATCTTCTTTTTCTTCATTTTTTTGGATTTCCTTTTCTTCCACATTTTTTGATTTACTTCTAGAAGGAAGTGGTCTTCGAGCATGTGGTCGCCTTTTTGGTGGTTCTTCTGGTCCATTATCGTCAGTTGGTGCCGCTTGTATAAATATTATACAAGCGGTTAAAATTAAACAAACCACTAAGAGTCTCATTTCACATCTGAGCAGTATTTTATTTATTGTTCAGCCTTATATAGAAATGAACGATGCGTCAATAACTATAAAGATAAAATGAAATTCAATAATAATTTTCAGTTTTAAAAAGTTATCATCTTCGTTTCATTATTTCTTTTTCTTATTATACACTGCATGTATATGTGTACATACGCATACAAATATACGAATGTGTACAAATATTTTTTTTAAATATATTATATAGTTTTTAATGAGATTGCTGAAGGTCTCATTATGTAAAAATTTCTTTAATGATTTATAGTATTTTATAGCTTAAAAGACTTAACTAACAGTTATGAATACTTGTATATTTTGAGTATAAACGCCGATGATTTCATCAAAATAAATAAATTTTTTGAATTTTACTTCTTTTTTTTTTTAATTTTTTGATACAGTGCAAATGTTTATTCACTTAAAAAAAAAATTGTGTATATGTAGATTTTTATTGTTTAGTTCGGTAATAATCAAAATTGTGTCAATTTATAATTCACGGAGATCAACACGAAACTTGGATGATGAATCAAAAAAGCTAAAATTTTTTATCACTATATTATTATATTAAATATTAATAGATTTATAACAGCACACCTTTCTTAATATTCAAAATAATGTTGATGGTGGTGATGAATAGTAAAACAAGAAATGATATTTCTTTTTTTTAATTTAATGATGTTATGATACTACGGTACTATAATATCAGCAACAGTTTCAATAGGTATTCACTGAGCTTTTGTATTCGAGTTTGTCTTTGCACACACAGGTATTGTAAGTTTTATACGTAACAAAAATGGAAAATAAACAAAAAAAAACACTAAAAACTCCCGACCCGACCCGACTCATAATTTCTTTCACAATTTTCTCATTTTTCTTCTTTTATATTCGACATCGTTATCATCGGAGTGTTGACAAAAGAGCATAAGTAATGGAATAACTCTCGAGTCAATTTATATATAGTTTGTTGTTAGGCATTGCCAGATATACAAAAATTAATAATGTTTTTCTTTTTTAAAAGTAAAAGCAAATAAAATTGAAGAAAAAGAAGAAAAAATTGAAATTGTATGAATTTTACATCACAACTTAAAAATATTTATTATCATAAAAAAATGGAAACCAAAAAGAGGAGGAAAAACAAGAAAAAGTACTTTTTGTTTTTCTTTCTGATTGTCTTTCAAGGTTAAAAGTTTATTGACAGATATTTTTATTTATTATTATAGAAATGAAAGACTGCATGTAGACTTTTATTTACGTGAATATTTTTGATTTAACTGACCATAACCAGAAACATTTGCAAAATTTTCATATATTTGTCTATACACTTGGCAGATACTTTTTTTCTGTTATTTTGTATTAAATTTTGGTTTAAACACCAAAAGAAAAAAAAAACTTTACAATTATGTTTACACCTTTAGCACCTCCACTTTGATTTTTGATTTTTTTTGCATGTGCATATTTTACAAGTCAAACAAGTCAAGTCACGACATAAATTTTTGAAAAGCTTAAGTATTATGTAAAAATTTAGGTTAATGTAATCTTATTTTATTTTTATTTTTTTATGTTATTGTGCATCGAGAAAAAAGTTAAGGAAATACCGATTGAAAATATTTTATTTGTGCTTTTTGTTTCTTATTTTTTGAAAAAAGATACCTGCATAACATTACCAAAGATTTCCCGCATTTTATCATTTTATTTTTAACGAAAAAGGTAAAATAATATATACTCGTATTATAACGGTAAGTACAATATTCGTACAAAAAACGAATAATTACTTGAAATTTGGTACATCCCATAAAAGTTAATTTGAAAGCGAGAATTTTTTGCAGATAATTAATGGACGCATCCTAACACGTAAAGATGAATGCAGATAATACGAGAATTATTTATTTCAAATATTCATAAAAATATTACTTTTAAAATAGAAGTTACCCTTCTAAACTCCCAAATTCAACGATAATACGATTTCATATTACTATTTCGCATACATTTTGAAAGTCTTCATATTGTTTTTAAAACTCAAACTAATATTTGTTTTACCATCGTTAATTAAAACTTTTGGTAACAGTAACGGTAAAATAGATGGTAAATAGTCACTTTTAAAATGATTAACTCAGGTTTTTTTTCTAATGTTCTAATTGTTTTTCAAGTTAATAATATTTAATCAATATAAAAGTCTCTTTTTCTAAAATCTATTGAAATTAAAATTACTACCACTTGAAATTTTCTGAAGCTTTCTGTTGAGAATGTATTCGTTTCATTTCTATTTAAGCAAATGTACATGTATTCTGCCAAATTAAAAAAAAATTTAAGTAAAAGTTGTTTCACTTAAAAAGATATCAGGTTTTTTTTTGTTTTAGTAAAAGAATGTCTAAGCAAAATACATTGTTACCCGGTTATTTCTTGACCGGGTTGATAAATAAAAATAACTAACAGGTTTACAAAATTTTACAGGTTATGCAACATCATAATTTTACTTTACGATAAGTTTTGTATACTATTAAAAATAAACTGATAAAAATAAATTTCTTGTTTCCCTGAGTGAATGAGAAGCTTATTTTTTTTTTTTTGATTAAATCAAGTAAGTATACTCGTATCAATAGATGTGCATATGGGCATTTTGAAAAAAAAAAAAATAATTTTGAACTTTTGTGTGTGTAATGTTAACTTTAATTTTGTGAATACTGTTAATTGAATTTTCTTTTCACAAGTATAGTATAAAACCAGTACTTGATGTACTAGCAAATGGATTCAATTAGATAGCGGAAATTTTAAATAATAAATTCTGCCAAATACTCTTTTAACATTAAATGACTTTTATCTAAACAACGGAAGCTGAAAATGTGAAACTTCACATAATTCAGTATTTTAAGATTAAACATTATTCTTTAATATATTGCTGAGGTACATTCGGTTCAACATTGTGGGGCCTTTATTTTTGATAATTTATGTTTTTAAAGAGTCATACAGCAAATTTAAAGAAAAAGAATTCCATCAACAAATAAAGCATAATCACTATGTGGTTGAGTCCAATTCTTCTTAATAATGCGTTTTTTTTTCGTCACTTTTCGGGGAGAGATTCCTTATGAAATCTTTTGTGAGCCCGCCTGTATAATGTGCTTACCCATACAGTGTTTCTGATTGTTGCTGATTGCTTTCTTTTGATACTATATTTTTTTCCTTTTAATGGCAACAGTTCGATCAGGAGGACGTGTTGTCGACTACCCTACTATTACATAAAATAATAGAATATTTAAGCCACTTTTAAATCATATTACATAATAAAATAAAACAAATTCCTTTTTCAGTCGTTCAAATGCTAACCGCTTTGACTAATTTTTTAAAACCCCATTCTTTATGAATAAGTCAAGAATACCCTTGTTTAAGAAAAAATAAACCAATTAGTATTGCAATATAAAAAGAAACGAGAATTAAGTTTTGTTTTCAAGAAGTAAAAGATATCTCTGAATACTCCTATTGTAATCCGATTATTATTTTATTATTTTCTAAGCAGAAATTATTAAAAAACCGCAAGATCAATAATCATGGATGATTCGCTTTCATATCGCGAAAAATTACAAAATATTTTTTATTAAAAGCTCAAATAGAAAGAAACATTATTCAAGTAATTCATAGTATCTTAAAATAGTTTAAAATTTCAATAAATTCATATTATATAATTGAGGTAACTACGTTAAAGAATAATATTGGAGGAATTCAAATTGCGAAAATACTTGCAGCTTTATAGACAAAGACAAAAATATTAGTAACTCTTGTATATTTTATAATGTCAAAGAAAATGAAGTAAGATTATTTTGTGTATTTTACAATTTTTTCCTAATCCCGAAAATCATTTCCCGAAAATCATTCTGTTTTAATGAAAGAAATACTAAGCAAAAATTATTCAGTTTGATTATAAAATATATTTTAAAATTCTCAAAAAAATTTTTTTACACAAAGAGAATTTTAATTAATAGCATTAATATTATTTTTTATTTATTTTTAATAATATTCTAAATTTGTCGTTTTTCTGAATGAGATTATAAGTATTCAAATCGCATAACTTATTTGAAATGCATGTGAGTTATCTAAACGTTATTATTCTAAAAATAAACTATTATCCAAATTTGATAAATAGTCATATAATACGTATATATTTAAAAATCATAGTGTTGTTAAAAATTAAAAGTATACGTTAAAAATATTTTATTAACAAAAATTTTTTTGTATACTGCTGAGCGGAGCTTAAATTAACCCCTCTGATCAAATTGCATAGGTTTTTGCTCCTATCCCCAATCAAATGTTGCTTGGACCTCTAAAAAATTTTAGTATTGAAACTAACCTGAACTGAGAAAAGTTTCAATCCAGGCAAAGCCACTGAATTTAAGGAATAAAAAACAAGTTCTTGTAATAAATTCTTAAATATGGAAATCAATATAATTGCGTTCGTACTTTATAATTTACTACATGGTTGTTTAATAATTTGTTTCCACGGGTCTATGATTTGCCTTTGATTTAGAGGGTTTACTATTTGATAACGAACTCCGCTTTTAGACTGTCAGAAGGAAACCGAAGAGATTAGAACCAATTTAACAAACAAAATTTTTTAATATTTAGGTCTTAAAATAACTTTAAAATTCGTTTATGAATGTTTCGATATATTATAATAATTTAAAAATTTTATACTACTGTCTATTGGTAAATAGAAAATTAGGCAATCTTTCAATTTGGGAGTCCCGATCAACTTTTAGGACAGAAATGAAAATTTTTTTCTTGGGTACACGTTGACCAGTTTTTTATTCTTTTTATATACAAATATTGTATATAAAGGCGTGGTGAAAGTTTTGCTGCTCATTTTAGCGCATTTCCAAAAAAAAAAAAAAAATGGAAAAAAAGTCTTTGTACCGTCCGTTCGTCTGTTTACAAGAATTCTACTATGTTATATTTGTTTTTAATTGAACAAATAGCCTTTACTAGATATTTTAATT